GAGGCCGCAGGGAGGGCTGCGGCGGGGGGGGATTCCAGTAAATGGCCTCCGAGCCTTCCTCATTCTCGAGAATAGGAAACTGCGCGACTTCTCCACGGGGTTTCACTTTCTGCACGGGGAGGCGAGAGGCCGAACTGCTCCGCTTGACCATCGCTGCAACGCAGCCAGGGGACCGAAAAAACACCGGAAGAGAAAAATTCATCAGTGCGTTTGCTGCACGTCTTGGGTGCAAAAATTTCCTTTTTTTTTTTTTCCTGGGAAAGCAGAGCGGGGGAATTGCGAAACCCCGTGAGTTAGGTCTCCCACCAGCCTGTTTTTGGGGATGCTCGGGGCAGCCGAGCGATGCTGTATCCCAGCCAGCCGTCTTCGGGGATGGCATGACGCCGAGGCCGTGGCAGTAACCTGTCCCGGTGCCCCATCACCTCCTCCATCCCTCGGCAGCCTCTCTTCCCCAGCGGCCCCTTTCCCCCGGCGCACGTGGATGCTGCAGCGGGGCAGCGGTCCCCGGGGGGGGCTGGGGGCCGGGAGGGGGGTGGGCAGGAGCTGGTAAAAATAGCACCCAGGTGCCCTCTGCCCCAGAAGCGATTTCTCGTTGGGTAAACAGGAAATCTATTCTTAGGCCCATTCATGAGCCGCTGGCTGACGGCAGCTCCCTGCTCCGGGCTTGTTTTGTTCCTCGTTGACACAGGGGTGACGCCGAGGCGGAAGGCCACCACGTAGAACCTTCCAGCCCTGCGGGCTTCCCCTTGCTGGCTCTTTCCCCCTCAGCAACACCCTGCGTTCCCTGGCTTTTCCAGGGGTGCTGGGGTTTCCCCTTCACGTGAGGCGACGGTGGAAGGTGAGGGCGGTTTTGGGGTGTCTCTGGAAACCCCCCTGCTGTTTGCTTCTGGGCTCAGCTCCGTGCTGGGTGGCACCCCGAGGGGCAATTGCTTTGGCAGAGCTCTCCTCCCAACCTCTAGCTCCTCTCTCCCTTCCTGGATGGAATCTCTTAAGTTGGAGGAGATAAAGCCACCATGGTTTGCCCTTTCCTGGGATGAGCTGAGCTGGGTAGATTGAGGAAGGAGGACGATGCTCACAGCTTTTTCCTGGCTCCCCGAAGCCCCCCAGAGTGGCGATGGCTGCGGTTCATCGTTGCTCCCCATCCTTTCCCCGATACTGCCATATCTGGCTCCAACTCGCTTCCCTTCCCGCTCTCCATGGATCCGTTTAGCCCGTGACACCCCTGGGCCCTGCCTGAGGCTGCTGTGGCTTCTGGCTGCTGGGCTGGAGCTGCCACGTGATGCAGGTGCAGGCAGAAATCCCTGCCTGCTGGGGACAGCCTTCCCTGCGTCTGGCTCCAACTCGCTTCCCTTCCCGCTCTCCATGGATCCGTTTAGCCCGTGACACCCCTGGGCCCTGCCTGAGGCTGCTGTGGCTTCTGGCTGCTGGGCTGGAGCTGCCACGTGATGCAGGTGCAGGCAGAAATCCCTGCCTGCTGGGGACAGCCTTCCCTGCCGCTGGGGACAGTGGGCTCCCCCAGCTGCCTGCATGGGGCTCCCGCATCCCATGGCTCAGAAGTGGCAACTTCTGCCTGGGCAACATTTTTGGGGAGCTAAAGTCGATACAGAGAGAGAAACTTGGGGCTGCAGCCTGCAGCGCTGGGTGAAACGACCGGCATCGTTACGCTGACGACGGAGAGGGGAATTCTCCCGTGTCTCCCCAGCATCGCTGCCCTGCGCCGGCGTGGCAGCACCACCTGTGTGGACCCAGCCTTGTCCCAGAGCATTTCCCCCCCCCCCAGGAAATGAGTGACCGAGAGAGGTCCAAGGGTGGAAGGCGCTTGTGGGGAGGATGGGGTGCAGGGAAAGCCTGGGATGGGCAGGAGTGCAGGCTGGCTCAGCGACGCAGACTGGGGGTGGCTGTGGTTAAGGGATACCCCCACACCATGGGATTGCAGCAGTGTAAGGCCAGGATCGGTTGGGACCGATCAGGACAGGCTGGGAGAGGGACATCCTAAACCCAGCACTAGGGTCCCTGCGCCAGGTGAGGGTGAGCTACAAGCTGGGTCTCTGCAGCGTGTCAGATCAGGGCTGGTTACAGATAAGGCGATGTGGGGCCCCAGTGACAATCCTACGGGGAGCTCTGGAAAATACACCCCCCAAAAAGGCTCCTTGGACTCCACACGGGGGTTGCAGGGAGGATTTATCACGGCAGTCCCAATTCCACAGATGCTTTCACAAAACTAGGCACCCCCCCAGCACCATCCACCACCGGGGCCAGGCTCGGAGGAAGGCTGAGGCATTGCTGCCCTCGGGCGGCAGCCGGCGGCACGGCACAGCGGGCTGGGGCCAGGCTGGCTGCAGGGGCGCAGGCTCCCCAAAACCCCCTGGCTCTCCTTCCACCTCGCGGCTCAGGTACCTCCATCGTCTCCGTCCAGTGCAGAGAGCAAGGAGGGAGGGGAAGGGGGATCCGGCTTGTCCGTGTGGCGGCAAACGTGCTGCTGCCTTGCCCTTTTTGTGACAAAAACCCAAAGCGCGGAGAGGTCGAGGAGCTGCCCGAGGCTGGCCGCGAGCAGGACGGGCAGAGGGAGGTTTCACCCAGCAGGCAGCCCAGGAGGTGGGCACGGCCTCATTCTGCTTCGTCGCAGGAGTCCGCATCCTCGCCCTCCTCCGCATACGTGATCCCCGCGGCGGAGCGCGCCATGGCCCTCATCCAGCGCCGTTTCAGCTCCTCGGTGTCGGCCACAAAGGTGTAGACCTGCCGGGACTGCGCCAGCTGGAAGAGGTGGCGGGAATCGCTCTGGGGCAGGTCCCTCACCTGGTAGCCCAGCAGCGGGATGGAGGTGTGTGCTCGGGCGTCCTGCCAAGAGCGGAGACAGCGGTGGGAGGCAGGGGACGGGCACACTGGGCTGTCCCTTGCAGATGGAGGCAAGCCCGGCCTTACCTGGGGGGCCGCGTAGATGTACAGCACGAGGGGATCATCCTGCGGGATCACGAACCAGCCCCGCGTGCCCCCCTTGCCGTTCTTGTCCAGCAGCTGCAGGGAACTGCACAGCAAACTCCTGCCTGATACCTCTGCAGCTCCTTTCTGCCAAAAAACCAGCAAACAAATCCCTAAATATCCTGTGCCGGAGGCAGAAAGGGCACCGAGCGAAGGTCATTTCCTGGGAAATTCCCTGCCTGCTCCACACCCCCCCCAAACCGGGGGCAGGCGAGGGGCGGTCCTGGCCGTGAGGGTCCTGCTGAGATCCCTGGATGCCTGGTCCCAAGGCTGACAGAGCGGGAGGGAGGGGGCTTAGCACATCCACCAGCCTCGCAATTAGCAGGCACCCTCTGACTGCTGCAGGAGTGACTCCCACCCCTCCTGCTGCAGGCGGGTGGCTGGGCTGTGACAGTGAGGCTGGGGACCAGGGTGGGTGGCAGAGCTGAGAGCAAGAGGGATAGAGGACCAGGACACGGGGAGGACAGGCAGAGCTCACCTCCAGGATGCCTTTGGGCTTCCCCTCCCGGTCCTCGAGCACCACATGGCCCGTCAGGAAGACATAACACTCCTGGCACACGCGGTTCAGGCGGTTCCCATCATACTGTAGCTCAGCCTTGTAGTCAGAGCAGCGAGCGCACACCACCTACAACCACCAGACAGGGATGCCGGTGAGACTGGGGCAGGGCTGGGGGATCCCAGGGACAACTCCAGGAGGAGCTGAGGGGCAGGAGCAGCCCTGAGCCTGCTGGGGAACCTGGGGAAAGCAGTACAAGGTGTAGGAGAGGTGCAGTCCTGCCCCAGCGGCCACCTGAGCAGGCCAGGAGGGAGGGAAGAGAGGGGGGACGGGGTGACTCACGTATCCACAAGCTCGACAGTGGTGTCTCCGGCGCATGATGGCATTGAAGGGCTCCTTGCAGCGCATGCACATGGTCACCAGGTTGTCCCGCACCCACTGTGGGGCTCGGCGGCCCAGCTCCTCTGTCTGGGGGTGGGAGACGGCATCGCTGGGGCTGGCTAGCCGTGGTCCAGGTGGTCCCAGCCCCTCTGCTCTCACCTTTCTTCTCCCCAGCCCTTCCCCCTGTCTGCAGCCTTCCCCCCCAGCTCTGTTTAGCTAGGGAAACTGAGGCACAGCAAGGTGGGCTCTCCCTGAGCTTCCGTGCAAGGGGGTGCTGGAGGCAGGCAAGGCATGGGGAGGGCAGGGGGGTTACCTTCAACGCAGGGGTGCCTGTCTCCAGCCCATGCACCGCTGTCTTAAAGGTCTCACTCCTCTTCTCCTTCCTGTCAATGGCATCTCGGAAGGCCTAGAGGGGAAGGCAGGGCTGGAGGGGCAGTTGGGGGGGCTGCCCCTGACACAGGCAGCGGGGGATCAGCCCGGTTTGAGGCCCAGGCATCCAAGCTGGGGTGACTGAGATGTGCCACCTCTCCCAGCACTCAGTGGTACCTCGATCCAGGCGTTCATCTCCTCCTCAGACCTGGTACAAAATGGGAGATGAATGAGCTGGCGTCCCTCCTCCTCGAGAGGGTCTGCAGGACTGTCGCCCTTCCCCTTACCTAGCTTGCAGCTCCAGCGTCCGCTGCTTTCCTGAGACCAGAAAGGTGTGAGGGAACTGTGTGTCGTTCAGCTCCCGCACCTGAGAGAGACCGAAGAAAGGATGTGGAGCAGCTGAACCCACATGCAGCACACAGGGACCTTCCTCCGTGATGTGGGGGACAGGGAAGGGCACAAGCCCTTCGGCCCCTCAAATCCTACATGCACGAGGCTGCACTGCAACCTCACAGGATCAGAGCGTATCAACCATTCCTCCTCATCCACAAAGTCACCCCTGACTCCAGCTCCTCCCTCCTTTCCGAGGAAGTGTGGGGCAGCGGCCACATTACACCCCAGAGCAGGGTGCATTTTAGGGGAGCCAGGGTCTGGGGGAAGCACAAAGACAAGGTGCCCGTCTGACCTTCATGCCGTCCACATTGATGCGGAGGTGGACCTGGAACTCAGCGCCCACCTGGATGACCTTGGGCACGCAGTACAGCAGCATGTTGTTGAACTGGGCAGGGGGGAGGAGGAAGAGGAGAGGATTGGTTGGAGCCCAGCACCTGCCTGCTCAGAGCTGGGGGCTTCCCCGAGATCTAGGGTCCTTCACTCCCCTGGGGCTGAGCTGGTCCTTGGGAAGAATCCAGCCTAAAAAGTGACTGCTGCTGCCCCAGCCCTCTCCCACCCTGCAAAGGCAAAGCACTCTTGGAGTGTGACATCCCCCAAGGGCTGCCGTGCCCAGGGGACGAGCAGGTTCCCAACCACGTCCTATACAGGGTGCCCTGCACCGAGGGGCTCAAACCCCCCAGCTCTGAATTCATCCCCTCTGTGTAGAGATGACCCAGCAACACCCCGTCCAGGCTGTGCTGCCCCTCTCCCCATTCCTATCCTATCTGCTCCCTGCCCCTTCCCCTGGGCACCCCAGCTCCCACCAGGAACAGGTACTTCTCCGATGTGCTGTTGTTGCGGGTGGAGACTTTTTGGATCGGCCCCTCCTTGATCAGCTCGTTGGAGGGATCCACGATGTCGTCCTCGAGGCCCAGCCGCTGATAGACTGCCCAGAGGTTCTGCAGCCGTTCCTGGGGGAGGCAGAGGGACCTGTTTCTGTAGGGAGCTGAGCAGCCACAACCTTGTCACCCCTAGGTCCCCTCCATCCCCACCTCCCACGCCAGCTGCTGAGTACTGGGAGAGGTGGCACAGCTCTCTCACCCCAGACTGATCTTTGAGAGTAGCTCCCAGCCTCAAAACAGCCAGTCACATCACAGCTGATGTTGTAGACATGACTTCCCCAGGCTCGGGGTGATGGGAACACGCATTAAGAGCAGGGTCTAACCTCCTCTGCTGAACCCACAGTGCTCCTGTCCCATTCAGGGCAGGGCTGTGCTCCACTGAGTCAAACGGCAATGAGGCCATGAGGAAATCTGGCAAATCACCGTGCCGTGAGCTGCAAAGCACTGCCAGCTGGGACAGGCACTCACCATCTCAGCGATAGCTGCGTTTGAGTGCTTGGCCACCATAAAAATCATCTCCAGGGCCTCTGCAACGAGAAGAGAAAGAGAGGAGGGTTAAACACTTGCTAGGGAGCTGTGGGAGAAAACCCCCGAGTCTCTCCCTCATGGGGGAGCCACGCGTGTGGTGGCTGCTGCCCTCCCCTGGACACAACCTGAATGGCCCTGAACGCTGTGCAAGCGTCTGTGTCCGGCCGGACTGTGCGGTGTGGCATGGTCGGGTCCTGGGGGCACAGACAGCCGGCTCCTTTATCACTCCATCCCAGCAGGACTGGGAGCTGCTGTGATCTGTAGGGGTCTGATAGCTCCCCTGGTCACCGCAGGTCTCCCTTGGAGATGCCCTGGAGGGACCATCCTTATCCTGAAACACCACCCACCTTCCCCGCTGACCTCCATAGACCCTGAAAGGGCAGATTAATCCCTCTCTCTGCTAGAAAAGGGTCAGACTGAGAGGTTTATCCAAGGGCACAGGGCAGATGGTGAGAGAATCCAGGTATCCTGATGCCCGTGTACAACATCGGGGGTTGTTATTTCCCCTACAAACCCACCCTGCCACTCCCCACAGTGGGGAGAGCCAGACGGAGCCCTTACTCTCTGCATCATCCCGGTCTGGGGACTCGGGTGGCAGTTTTCGGACATAATCTTTCAGGAGGAGTTCATAGCGCGGAATCCTCTGCACAGGTTCCAGCATGTGGTGCTGCAGCGTTAGGTTAGCGCAGACCTTCCTCTTCTGGGGAGAGACACCGTGCACGGAGAGAGAAACAGTGACCAAGGCAGCTCCCACTCTCCGCTTGCGGGGAGATTTTGGGGAGCATTGCTGCGGTCCCCCACCCTGCTGTGCCCCATTACCTGGATGTCAGCAATGAGCTCCTGGAAGGGCGGGGATTTCTCTGACCAGACGGTGATGAGCTCCACGGCCTTGTCGAAGTTCTTTACATATTCACCGTACATCTTGAGGAACGGCGCAAGCTTCTGGATCACATCCCCGATCCGCGGGTTGCAGCTCCTGTGGGAGGGAACCGCAGACCGGCAGCTTCCTCAGTCCAGCGGGGCAGACAGACAGCAAGGGATAAAGTGAAGGGGCGGCTTGTGCACGGTGGAGGACGGAGGTTTTTACCACTGCTACATCCCCATACAACTTCCCGCTCTCCAGAACGGGAACGTCTCCAGCTTGCAGCCATCCTGGGCCGTTCATGCCTGGACACACCCCTAAACCACCTGAGATGTCACCCCCCTTTTCAGAAATACCCTGATGTGGGCTGGACCGTTTTAAGGAAGTGCTTTCCAGCACGAAGACATTTGGAGCAAAACAGGCTGAGCACCCTGGTCCTGTTGGGAGACCAAATTCATCACCGCTCCCCCATTCTGGCACAGCAACCCAGGCGTCCTGCCCTCCCCTCCTGCAGCTCACCAATCCTCCATGCGCTTCTGCAGCTCTGGCAGGAAGAACTTGGCGTGGAACTGGTAGATGGAGGAGATGTTAGAGAAGATCATTTTCACCACCTCCTCCGGGACTGTCTTCCCATTTTTGGCTTCTTTCATCAACTCTGTATAGAATATCTGGAAGAAAGAAGGGGTGAATAAAAAGGGTCAGGAAGGGGCTCGAGGACCCCATTCCCTCCCTGAGACTGGCACATTGCCCAGTGAAAATTCCTGACTCTGTGCAGGAGGGAAATCCCGGGCCCCAGGAGAGAAGCAGGAGGGATGGAAAGCTTTGCTGGGACAAAGGTGCTCCTTGGAGGTGTGGGGTGTAGGAAAGGCAAAGGCCAGACCCATTCTCTGGCCATGAAGACCAGCAGCCCAGCGTGGCTCTCATCTGTACAGCTTCATTCTCTCCAAAACCTCCAGGAAACAGTCCCTGGCCTGTGCATACCCTGAACTGAGCCCAGGCACTGCCACAGGGTCCAAGTCCAGGCCGAGGAGCACAGGAAAATTGGTGAGTGTGGAGCCGCGCCGTGGTCCTGCCTGGTTTGTCAGCATGGGGTGGCCGAGCTGTGCTGGTGGGGGTAGGCGGCAGCAGGGCTATCTCTTCCCAGACTTGCGTGGGCCCCTCTGCTCCCCAGCTCACCTGGTCGAGAAGATGGAGTCGGTTGACGTAAGCCTGCTCTGTCTCCAGTAGCTCCAGAGCGATTTTCTTTTCCTCTGGTTCCTGCACGGGGAGAAGGGCTCAATCTCGTGTGCTGCAACGCAAGCTTTCCCCACCAGCCCGAGGGGATGCAGCTCTGTTCCCCAGTGTTCACAGCCCACATCAAACTGGACCTCGCTCCAGGTGAGGGCAAAAGAATGACCTCAACAAAGCGTGTGGTAAAAACGAGGGTGAAAACAAAGCATTTTTGGGGCTGTCGGGAAGTCTGGCTCACGTTCTCCTAGATCAACCCCTTCTCTGTGCCTGTTTCTTCCTGAGCAATACAGGGCTAGCGATCCCGAGAAGTGGGGCAGGGTGGGGTGGGTTAACCCCATGGTCTGCAATTGCACCAAGGCCTCTGAATGCAGTCCTGCAGAAACGCGTCTGCAGTCGGCAAAGGGCAACACGAGGATGCCCTGGGATGGACCTGGCTGGGCCCACCTGTGCATCTGACCCCCAGGGCGTAGTTATATCAGAGCTGGAAGAGACAAGGTCTGCTTAGATCTATCTGACTATGGGGAATTTGTGCCTGAAGCATCAGGGAAGTTGCCACTTCTCTGTCACCCCACGCACCGGCCCTTGCAGGGCAGGAGACTTGCTCAGGTCCAGTAGAGACCTCAGCTCAGACCCAGCCCACGCGACTCCCTGCCTGAGCGTGAGCACCTGCCACCCTCGCCTGAGCCGCCTCCAGAGCTTACCTTGCTGCCAGGCTCGAGGCCTGGGTCCTGCTGCCTCCTCCAGTTGTCCTCACTGATCTTGTGTCGGAAAGAACGTAGGCATTTGAAGCTGAGCCCCCGCTGACCCTGCTGTTCCTCCTCTTCCTCCCCCTCATTCTCCTGCTCCGCTTGGTGCCTGGCAGCCATCTGGGAGAGGCTTTGGCTGGCAGGGGACGCTGGAAGCTGCTGGGGCTGGCTGGTTGCAGGAGTAATCTGGCCGTGCGGAGCCTGCTTGTCCCACCAGGCAAATTTGCCAGCCCTGCCACGGAGGAATGGCGTGATCAGCTCACCCATTCCCCCAGCACAGCACGGCCGACGCAGCTCCCGGGCCCAGGTTAAAGCCACGGTCCTCAAGCGAAGGCGATAAGACACAGCAGCACCCCAGCGCTGATGCTGCTTTGCTCCACTACAACCCTGCTGATACAAACCAGGGTCCGAAAGCCCATACATCCTCCAAGGGGGCCAGGATCCAGCCTCTCTTCTCCCAGTGCCTCCTGCTGATGTGGTCAGTCCCTGTCTTGCTCTAGAAAAGCACGACTCTGCCATTTATCCCACCCACAGCCATTTAGTTCTCGAAGCATAGCCCTGCCCTTTGCGGTGCTGGCACAGCTCTGGCTTTCTGCCTGCTGCCACCGTGGAGCCAAAGCGGGGAGCCTTTTTTAAAAGCCAAATAGCCAAGAGGAGGGCTTGTGTAGGTGGTTTTGCAGAAGGGTAGTTTCGTGGAGCCAAAGCGGGGGGCCAGCAGCCTTGGGCACGAGGCTTTAAAAGCCAAATAGCCAAGAGGAGGGCTTGTGTAGGTGGTTTTGCAGAAGGGTAGTTTTTTGGTGGTTTTCTCTCTTCTCTTTTCTGGCAAAGACAAGGAAAACAGGTCCAGAGCAGGCATAGGGGAGAAGCCACACAGGGCACAGGCCGTGAAGTTGTCAGCAAGCGAGTTATCTGTCATCCGAGAGCTGGTCCCTGTGGTAAATTGCTCTGGGCAGAAACTGGAAAGACATCCACCTGCAGACAGGAATGGGATGAGGAGGAGGGGAAAACTGGGACGAAACTGGACATAAAAGCGCAAAGTTGAGGATAGGAGATGACTTGAGTGGCAGACACTCATCTGAAGAGGATGACGGGTCCATCCCCACGCTGATAAGCACACATCTGTGAGCTCGGGAGTGCATCCACAGCCATGCACGCATCCCCTCCTGTCCATGGGGGCTGGCATAACACTTCACGTGACAGAGAGGCTTCATCCGTCCCTCCTGGTGCCTCCCAGACCTGTGCCAGCCTAAACCCACTGCCGAGATCTGACAGGGAGCTTCTCTCTTTCTATTTGCGCTGACTTGGGCTAAACTGTTTTCTGTTCCAGAAAACTCTTTTCCAGGTTCCCCAGGTTCCTCTGAAAGTCATAAGTTACTTTTATTTCCTCTAAATCAAACTCACGCTTCTTGATAAACAACAAGCGCATCACAGCAGCAAAATGGAGGCAGATCAAACACCACGAACTGTTCCAACACAACAACATCACAGGCCAAATTTCACCTGTGGGACCATGGGGACAACCACGCTGCTCCGGAGCCATCCAGAGCACAAAGACCGGGGCAAAGCACGCAGCGGAGATGCAGGCAAAGTTCCCGGAGCAGAAGGAAATCTCATGCCTGACCACCTTTAGGAAGTGCTGCAAAACTCATCTGCCCAACCACCCAGCCCCATTAAGGCTCACTGAGAACACCTCACTGATACAAGGAAAGGTAAGATTCAGTATCCCGATTCAACAGATGGGGAAAACTGAGGCACGGATCACAACGACGACTCACCCCAAACCTCAGAATTACTTCTACACCAGGGGCAAGGCAGATCCCCTTGCTCCGACCCTGGCACACGCTGTCTGTGGGTCCCAGCTCATGCTCCAAGTGAAGGCGCTGTTTTACAGGGCTGCCATGCAGCCCAAAAGGAACTTGCTCTCCCCCTTAACATGGTTCTTTCTCTTCCCTTTCCTAGGAGCCATATCATTGCAAACACTGGATAGTCTAATGCTGGTGCCCGAGGCTCAGATCCTCCCAGATGCTTGAGCAGTTAATTCCCAGTGAAGACCCCTGCCTACGTATTTGCAAACCAAACTCCTTTTCCCCAGCAGCAGGAGAAAAAGCCTTCACCAGCCAGGCTGACTGCAAAAGTGCTGTGCGCGGAGGGAACAAGCATGCCACAACCTAACCCTGAGCCAGGCACAGAAACCTCCAGCAAAGTCAGTCACATCCCACTGAGGTTTTCAGATTTCTGTCCATGACCCGCAGCAGGAGGAAGACACTAGGGCAGATCGCCTAGTCATCTTCTCCACGGCCTCCAAACCACCTCCACAGTGGGTTTCTTCTTTCCAAAACCCACGCCACGTGGAGCCCTAACACACCCACAGCGCCCAGGACGCTCCCTCCTTACCAGTGCTCTTCAAACACAGCCACCAGATTCAACACGCTCCGTTGATTATCAGCCTCTCCCTCCATGGCACTGGCTGCACCGGCTGGGAACGGGTCCCGGGTGTGAAGGAGCTGCAGGGGCGGGTGCTGATGGCTGCGGCTCCCCTCTTCTCTTCCCCCTCTCTGCTTCGAGGTGTTTCTGGGACCCTGGATGTTGTTTAGGGAGGAGGATTTGCACAAGGCGAAGACCATCTGCTGTCCTTCTTTCTGTGACAGGAGAGCTTGTCTCTGGGTTGGCCCCAAAAGGAAAAGGAAAGAGGAAGCGCAGCAGGTTGCGAGTAGGAGAAACGCTGAGAAAACACTGGGAACGTCTTCATTTTGGAGGGACCTTGCCGAGTGCCCCAAACTGGCGGCATAACCAAGCCCAGAGCAGCAGCAAGGACGGTGCAAGGGCCCAAGCTGGGCAGGAGGCCTGACCCGCTGCACGCGCCTGTCTGCTGGGAGCCCCCAGCAATGGGGTGGGCTGCGTCCCACCAGGCGTTGGGGCCCGGGGTGCCCCTCGCGGGCTGCGCGCGAGGCTGAACGGTCGTGCTGCTAGGAGGGGCCGTGCATGGCCTGGAAGGGACCTGCTGTGAAGGAGGGAGGGAACGGGTGAGAGGCTTGCCAGCCCTGCAGGCCCCACGGACAAC